TTTTCTCGTTCGTTTGTTAAATTTAAAGTAAGGTTAAAACCTTAAAATCGTATGGGAAATCAGGGTTTTAACGGCTTTAAAGGGATTAATTTGTATAAACCTCGATTGTACATTTTTCGGAATTTCATCACATTTCCAAAGGACTCTTCCCAGCCACAATATGCAAACGAAATGCTTCGCAAAAAAAAGAAGGGCACACAAAACTGCTGCCAATTGCAGTTGGCTTGTGGTTGGAATACGGCGGTTCCATGTTGGCTTGGTAGCGGTGTCGTTTAATTTAAAATGAAATACATCATGCTGGCCAATTATTTGAGCAATTTGGCAAATTAGTGGTCCAAGCCATTCCGTCTAGGCTCCGAAAGCGGCAATTACCAGTCGGAATTCCATTCTTCTCTCTGTGTTTTCCAACCGAAATTATTGTAGCCCACTTTCCTGCACTCGCTGCTGCTAATTACCGCACAAAAGACAATTGGCTATAGAGAGTGAAAGTCTCAGCTCGAAATGCACAAATGTCGACTCCTCTTGGCAAGGTTAACAGCTTGACTCTTGTCAACGCCGTCTCAAGTGAGTCCCGCCCCTCAACAATATCGCACGCATTCAGAAATACGAAGTACGAATGCCATGGGCCAAGCTAAAACGCATTTCGGCCGAAACAATGGCGCCGGCAAACGAAGGGCGAAATCAGAATGGGATTTAGACACAAGGCGAGCGGGCACGAAAATACGCAACAACATGGAATAACAGAAACAGTCAAAGCGGGCCACACAATGAAATTTTAATTAAGTCTGAGCTTGGGACTCGCTTTGTGCTGATGCAGCCGAATGAAATGCCACTGATTATGTTTGTATGCCCGCTACCCATTCATTGTAACTGGGAAAGGAAGTATACGAATTTTTAACCATATATAGGTAGTAAAAGATTAAATTCGGTATGGTTAATTACCTATAAAATATAGGTACTTTATTGTAAGATTTGGACCACTATAAATAAAATAAATTCTCGAAATAAATATTATTTCAAATTATAACAAAACATTGTTAAATTTGTATATTAAACTTAAAAATTTTATAACTTTAAAATTATTTTAAACCCTTCAGGAATATAAAAGGTATTATAAATAAATAAAAGGTTTTTCAAGCGGTACCTTCAAGCCTACCCTGAAAACATATCATGCTTGAATGGCTCTTAAACTGTTGAAATGCTGGCACATACACATATTTGTTTGCGATTTTTCCGTATGTATAGCATGCATTTACTTTTCTACTTTTACTTTAACCCATCCCCACCTACAGACACCCACCCACCCTTTCAACTTTCTCTCCGTTCCCCTATTTCGCTATGCATTTGTTTGTTGCTTTGTTTTGCGTCTGAATGGCTACACAAATACAAAACGTCTGCACATTGTATCTTGTTTAGTATGAAACATAAATGCATTTGTGTAATTACACAACATACATAACTGTATCTAGAGATCCTTGTTTTAGGATGTCTGCTGGTCTCAGCCCACAGGAGGGAGGAAGGGAGACGGCGATAGAGGAGAAAGAGCGCGATGCAGGCTCCTCACTAATTGAAGTAAATGTGCTAAAGGCTTGCCAAAGTTATTCGCAATGGGAGTGTTCTTTAGCTAATGATTGTTAATGGATTAATTAGGAAACTCTATTTTTACCTTCAGCTAAAGGGGCTTATTTAATATTAAAGAGGTTGCTGGTTTAGGACTACAAATTTGGTAGCACTACATTTTTTTAGGCAAGAATTACCCAAAAATGTATGTATCCCAAAAATGAATGTATTCGGGAAAAGTATACCTTTAATTATTATTTTCTAATAAATAAGAAATACCATAATTCTCTGTTCTTAACTCAAAAATATTTTATTGTCATGAGAAAATACACACTCTAAAATACTATATTTATTTCGAAAATCCAAATTCTATCTTTTTGATTAATACCTCTCAAAATGAATAGATTAACTCCTGTTTCTGACAGCATTTCATCCATCATTGCTCTTAATAAAGCAATCAACTCGGTAACAACTAATTGCAACAATTGGCTTCGTAATCGAATAGTTAATTATGCCCAGCATGCAACAGGCCAAGTCAAACTCTGTGGTCTCCGCTCTCATTTAGTTTTCATTACGAATTTTGGCGTAGCACGTGACGGGCATGGATAAATGAAGACAAATAACTCTTTCGTTCGCAGAACCAACCCATCCAGAACCTCCGATTTGTATGCATAGACTGACCACAGAAATGTAATACAATGGAAAAATTACTTGCTAACCTCTGGATCGCTGCGTTTTGCTTTCTGCTCCCTATTTAATTAAGCACTTAATTATTTAATGCGCTGATTGTGCAATATTTCAAAGGACCCCACCCAGTACTTAGTATTGGTTAGCTCAGCTTAGCCAGAGTCCTTTGGGTGTGTGCTTTAGGGTGGACCTTGAATCTGGAAAACTAAGCTCACAGTGGGTTAATTATTTTGTTTTTAGTTTTACCCAAATAAATAATTTTTTAGAAATAATACGATAAATGTTTTATATATTTCATTAAAATATTTGATAATGTATAAGGTCCACTCTAAAACGGAAAGGTGTGTATGTGGGGGATGTGAGTGTGTTGAGGTGTCATAATTATCGCATTGGGTAGCCGAAATTTAATCAGACCACTGGTCCATAGGTCAAGTTAAGGTGTGGCAATGGGTTTCCATCTGACTGCGTTTCTCTAGACAGAAATTAAATGAAGCGGGTAATGAATTACACTGAAAGCAAAAGCTAAAATTCCTTTGATATTTCAGACCAGTTATATTCCTAAGTTTTACAAAAATTATAGTATTTTGTAATATTACTCTTTCCTACTTAATATAACCAGATTTTTAATAAGAATTTTATATTTGAGTAAATTATATTCCGCTACACAAAATTAAAGCGAAAACTTCTTTGACACTTTAGCCTGATTAATTAAACATTTTACAAAAATGTTATTATATTTTAATAATACCTTCCTATTGTCTTAAATGGAACCGCTCAGCTTTTTAATTAAAATTTTCTGTAATATTTGAAAGCGAGCCCTTTCCACTTGCCTAGAATATTTCTTTGACAACATATGGAACTAAATCCTATTGTAAAATTTTAATAAAGTCCACCATTGACTACGTCGTGGCCGTTGCATTTCATTTCATTTCATTACATTTCATTTCCATATGCTGGCTCTGTCAACCGCCTGTCTCTCTAATTAAACTTTATGGAGAAGCCAACATTTGTTCCTCGCCAACGCCTTATTAAGCGTTTTCATTATTCTGCACTTGACCAGCTCGGTCTCCTTTAATAATGCTCATTTCCCCCTTCTCGGTTCAAGCGAATGGAAATAATAAAATAGAGTGGGAAAAGTGGTTGGGTGTAAGTGCACATAATTAAACAGCAAATTCTCCCAGTCCTCTTTAATTGCAATGATTTAAGTGGATTTAGTGTATTTAGGTTTGTAAAAATAAAAAAAAAAGAATCAATAAGTATCTGTTTATTGGTTTTAGTCACATGGCCTATTTACATTAATCTGAACCTGGTCATGCATTCATTATTCAATCAGCAGTTTTCAATTAATGGCTAAGACAACACGCCCCGCTCACCGGATCCCAATTCCATTAAAACACGAATCAATTTAATAGAGTTCCTCTCACTCCCTCGCTACCGAACAACAACGATTCTCTAGAGATAAAGCAAATATTGGTTCTCCTCGCGTTGCATGTGTATAAAACAAAAAACAAAAAAAAGAAAAGGGGAAACAAAATCAATCGAAAATGTTTGCTGCACTCAAATTAAAAACACAAACAGACCAATACCGGTCTAGTGTAAGAGTGAGTGTAAACAAAATGGCAAATAAATTTGATTTGTATGCAACAAACGAGAGCAGAGCGAAACAAATACACTGAAAGTCTAGCGGTGGAATTTATGCGTTTTTATGCATTTAAAATTGTAAAACAAGCGCTTCTGCTCCTCTTTGGCCCTGGCACATATTCTCAGCCTTGTTGTGCGGCAGAAAATTTGCGCTATTAATATTTGCATTCAACTGGCAACAGCCCAAGCAACCGAGCAGCCATTCCAACCCATTCGCATCCCTCGGCGGAGCAGCTCCTCCTCGCCCTCTCAACACTCCTTGAAACTATCAACACATCTGCCAGCGGCATTGTCAGTTGACAATGGTCCTTTGGGGAGGAGAAGGGGGAGGGGGAGGGAGGGAGATGGTGGAAGGATGCAGGCCGCAGGACGAAGGATGCAGGATTCAGAGAGGGGAGGAAATGGTGCGTATTATGGCTGCAGTTATGCGAGGGTACTTGTGCACCCATATATAGGGGTTTCTCTATATTTAAAAAGGCTCAAGCGGCACTTAACTTCTGCTCAAAGCACGTTGCACCCAGCGCAGAGGGTACTGTGGAAAAATTTAAATTAAATCTAGTTAAATAAATAATTATTAATTAAAAAAAAAATTTATGATAAGTCTTTTTTTTTTAGACCTTGAAGTGGTTTAGAAAACTAGGACTAATAAATAAACAACTATAAGTACTAGCCATCCACTAAACAAATATTAGGAATTTTAAAATATAACTTATTTTCCCACTATCTTTTTTGTCAGTATAAATAGTTTCCAAGGTGGAAGGTAACAAAATGTTATTCCAATTTTATAGTAATATATCTTACATATTTTGGTTTTATAACCCATTAGAATTTAAGTTTCTAAAATATCAAATTTCAGAATTTTTTCTGTGTGTTGCAACAAAAAGTACAATCTTTAAGATAAAGCGATACATTTTAAGGAATATTCCAGTTCGCTATGCTAATCAAAACAAGCTATAACTAGCTGAAATCGGAATGTAACTATAAATACTGCCTGTTAAGATACAGTGATCTCGAAGATGTAATACCTGCCAAAATCCAAAAAATATTCTGAAACTCAAGCAATTAATAGTGCAAATTACCACAAATATCCCAAGTTTTTTAGTTATATTTGACCTATCTTTCAAATGAAATTCATGAGTGATATTTTTCGTGGAGCAAATGTGAGCGCCATAGACGGAGTGTTCGAGGCATGGCCGTCGTCGTACCAGTCGAGTCTTCCCCGCAGACTACGGATGCCGAACCAACTGGAGCCGAACTACTTGGACGAACCGGAGGCATTCTCTATCAAGCGATTGATCTTCAAGATCATCAAGATTGGTGTGCTGCTGCTTATTTGGGGTTTCTTCACCTACATCCTAGTAAGGATCTCAACGGCACCGGTTAACACATCGGTGGTTACGGTGTTGCCCAATGAAACGCTGCTCCGTCGGCTGCAATTACCAAATGATGCCGCGAGGATAACGCTAAGGGGTCCCATTGATTTGTATCTTGGAAACACCAAGGATACAGCCTTTGTGGGTCTGCGAGTGGAGTGGCGGGACTCGGAACTTGAATATCACCCTTCCGGCGCTCCGACATGTGGGTAATCTACCTCCTGGCAGACGAAAGTCGATTCGAGGAAACGGCCAGGACCTTTGAGATATCGCCAACGAAAAGAAGAAATGACAAGGCGGTGATCTCGCTGGAGGGCAGGAACGAGGAGCCTGTTTCGCTGCTCATGGAGGTTAACGTCTATCCGCTGGTCACCCACCATGGAGTCATCTACGCCGCCCTGCTGTTGATTGGTCTCTATATCCTCATCGTCTTTGAGCTCACGGATCGCACCTTTGCCGCTCTTCTGATGGCCACCACGGGAATAGCAATCCTCACGGCGCTGGGCAATCGACCCACGATGCAAACGATCATCTCGTGGATTGATTTCGAGACCCTGATGCTGCTGCTGGGCATGATGATACTGGTGGCCATAATGTCCGAGACAGGGGTTTTTGATTGGATGGCCGTGCTGGCCTACAGGATCTCCAAGGGTCATCCCTGGCCCTTACTCATCTTACTCAGCTCCATTACGGCCATTATGTCCTGTGTTTTGGACAATGTGACTATGCTCCTTCTGATGGCGCCCATTGCCATCCGTTTGTGCGAGGCCATGGGTGTGCAGACTCCCCTGGTTCTAATCATCGTGGTCATGTACTCGAATATCGGTGGCACCCTCACGCCGGTGGGTGATCCGCCCAATGTGATAATAGCCACCAATCCCGAGGTGATTGCCCAGGGCATTGATTTCCTCAACTTTGTAATCCACATGCTCCCCGGGGTTTTTCTGGCCATAATAGCGGGTTTCGGTGTCTTCTATCTGACCATGAGGAAGTCGCTCTTTAAGCTGCAGGATCGACAGATTGAGCTGGCTGCCGAAAGGGAGTCGATGAGGCGACGGATGAGCGCGGAGATCACAGCTCGAGCTTCGGAAATGCGGGAAAGACAGCCGGCAAGGCAGTGTTTAAAGCCCTCGGCCAACTATTTTGAGACTTTAGCCCACTTGGAGGCACATCATCGCATCCGGGACAAGACGCTGCTCATCAAGTGCCTGTTCACGCTGGTCTTCGTGATCCTCTGCTTTCTGCTGCACTCCCTGCCTTTTATGGCCGGCGCCACCTTGGGCTGGGTGGCCATCCTGGCGGCCTTCCTGCTCCTTATTCTGGCCAAGATGAACGACATCGAGGAGATACTCGACCAGGTGGAATGGTCGGCCCTGCTCTTTCTGGCTGCCCTGCTCGTGTTGACCGAGGCGGTGGCCCAGTTGGGTTTCATCCACTGGCTGAGTGAGAACACAGTTAAGGTGATCATGAGCGTGGAGGAGAAGCATCAGACGACGGTGGGAATTCTAATAATCCTCTGGCTAACCGCCTTTCTGGCTGCCTTTGTGGGCAACGTACCCGTGACCACGATGATGCTCCGTCTGACCATCGAGTTGCAAAACAACGAGGCGATCGGTGTGCCCCTTTCGCCGCTCATCTGGGCCCTTTCCTATGGCGCCTGTTTCGGCGGCAATGGCACCCTGATCGGCGCCTCGGCCAATGTGATTGCCGCTGCGATCGCCCACCAGTATGGCTACAAGATTTCCTTCGTCCAGTTCTTCATCTACGGCTTTCCCATGATGCTGGCCACCGTCTCACTGGCCACCGTTTACCTCCTCCTCGCCCACTCCGTGTTCACGTGGCACAAGACGTAGTCGTCCTGGGTTCCAACTCAGTTAGAAGGCCTTTCGCGGAGTTGCGATAGATAGGATCTACAGTGTATGGTCTCTATCTATGCGATAGATAGGATCTACAGTCTATGCTCTATCTAGACGCTACTCCGATAAAGGTCTCAATATGGATAGCTGTGATCCTGAGATTTCAAAATGGAGGAAAACCTTTTTTGGATCGCTTATAAAATACCATGTACATTGTGTAAAGTATAAAGTGTAAGTCTCGATTTATGTCGCCCATTAAAGTGGATTTTTCTATAAAAATTAAAAGAGGTCTTGAAATTGGTTACTTTGTTTTAGGTTTTTTTTTTATTTAATATCTTATCCAATATTCCACACTGCAAAAAAATTTAGTTTTCAATAATGTTTTTGATTATCAAAAATGTTTTCTAATTATATAGACACCATAACAATTTTCGTACATCGAGAAATATTTTTTTTGTTTAAAAGGTATGTTTTAATATATCCCAAGAAAAATATTTATTATTTTTTTTTTTTTTTTTAATTTGACCCAGTTTTTTGTTTTTTCGGCCACTGTATAATTTTATATAGCATACTTTGTGCGCAACGACCCCGACAACTCCAGCTGCAATGACAATGCGTAGCTTGGCTAAATTCTTCCGCTTAATCGCGCAATAATAGCTCAAGGGTGTTAAATATGCATAAACAGCGGCAACAAAGGCAACAACTGCGATTACAACTGACTAGATCTTTGTGTGCAGCAACAACTTAACCGCATCTGCTCCAGGGTCCTTGTGGATAAATATATAAAACCGACTGTAAGCACTAGGAGAATCAGCGAAATGGGAGATTTTAAATGTTGCAAAATAATTGGTGGCAATTACGTTCGCTTAAAAAGTGAATTGAGGAACTTGAATAAAAATGCGAACCAACACAGAGCTTCAAAGCCGCGAAAAACAGGCAATCTAGCGAATTAAGACCTCTTTAATGTTGAGCATACACGTGTACACATTGAATACATATTCACTTGTGGCAATCAACGAAATTCTTGGGAAAAACACGAATAACGGATTTCGCCGCGAGGGAAAAACAAGGGCAAGCCCGAAAACAACAACACATGCAATCCGCCAATAAATCAACTAATTAAATATTCCGATTCGGAGCCAAAGTATTTGATTTTTGCAAATTTAAACAACACAACGAGCAGCCAGGCAATGCCAATCGGAGCCCAACCCTTGTGCCCTCTTTGCATTTTGACTCTGATTTGATGTCGCGACTTGAATCAACATCAGTATATAACAACAGCAACAGATATATGAAAACACGCGACAGCACGAGAAATGAGTGAAATAATATCAAATGAAATGAAATAAAATAAAACGAAACGAAATGAAATGCCTGATTGCGTTGGCGTTCTGACTTGTCGAGGTTTGCTGCTCTGCTCCCCAATGGCGAACATGAAAGCGGCTTTGCATGTGAGCAGGGCACCAAACAAAAAACAAAATACAAAAAACGAGAAAAAGAAATTAAACCAAAGAAACAATATGTGGCAACAAAAATGGCGGGCAACGTAACACTAATTACCATAATTGTGCAGGGCGTGTAGAAACACTTGATGAAGGCGACGAGGACAAAACTTTAGCTTGGCCTCTAGCCTCTAACGTTACTTGGTTGAAACTCCGTAAGCGGTATAGAGATGATTGCGTGAATGGGATTATAAAAAATAAAGGAAATTTTTAAAAAGAATTAAAAAGCTCAAATTTTATATAGTTCCCTTTCCTGGTTCCTAACTTATTTCTAATAAAATATTAAACAAATTCTATTTTTTACTGCTGAGTTTTGTCCAAATGTTTTTCTTTTCGCCAAAATATAATAATTCTGAAAATTAAAATCAAATCATTTGGGTAAGAAACTGGACGATATCAAAAATAATTTCAAATAACATTTTAATGTACACATTTTAAGTTTTACCATTCACATATTACGGTATTATTGCTGATGTAAGAAATGAAGGACGAATGAAATAGTGACATTTACTATGTTTTTTTTAACTATCCGAAAGAATAGGAATTTCAGTTTAAGAAGAGCTATTTTTTTTTGTTAGGATATTTTAAACGTTAAAAATTCGCTGATTTAAAAGAAGGACTTTTATTATTATAATACTAGGATACTAAATAGAATCATTACTAGATTTAAATACCTTCAATTAATAAATTAAAATATTTCCAGCTGTCCACTTAAGTTTAGAAATCTGTATATATTGTCATGATCACTCTGCCAACTCGATTGAGGGGAAAGAACTCGTTACCCGATTACGCGAAAGCGTCACGTTGGCATCGCGTGCGGGGCAACGTGTGTCGGGCAATATAACGTATACGCCAAGGCGGCCAAATGTGTAGAAATGAAACATTAAATTACATTGGTTTCTCGGTGTTCCGCTTGTCCTTTACCTACCCCCCCGAAGCCATCTGGCTAGCCGCCCATTGTCTCTCTCTCTCTCGGGGTTCTGACCCCCTTTTTTGAGGGCAGGTGTGGTTTGCACGTAGATCGCGCACGTTGCTGAAATTTTAAGCACTCCGCAGAAACAGGACAGCAGGACAGAGGAGGATAGTCAGACAGACCGCCGGCGGTTTTGTTCTGAAGTGCGCTTTAATAGTTGGCTGTCTGCAGCTGCCGCAGCCGGAAAATCGGGAAAAGCGGAAGGGCTGCGCCATATATGTTTGAATGTGGCGTGCTGGCAGGCCAGAGTGCTGTTTAATAAAATGGCGAGGAAAACAGAACTCATGGCACTGCTGCAAACACGAACCGAAAGTGTAATTATGCAGATGTTTGAGGATCAGCCGCAGCAATGATTTATGTATGTCTGCCGGCACAAACGTCGGCCCTAATTACATCTGCAGCGACTGGGAGACCGAAGAATGCATAGAATTAACCCAGGCCACACACATGGAAAGCTCACAGAGCCGAGAAAATCGGCTTTCACCTGGACAATCATGAATTAAATCAGAAATCCCTGACTTGAGGACACGAAAGTAATTAACTCGACCTCGCCTGTATGCCCGGGGCCATCATCAATTTCCCGAATTGTCACTCACCGCCGGGAGTTGGTGTTAATTCTCGTCTAATTTGTAATTCACCTGTCCGCCCACACGACCAAGGCAGCAGTTAAAAATCCTTTAGGCCAACATAAAAATGCCATTAAACCTGACCGTGATTATCCTTGTTCTGTGGATGCCCGAAATGTTTGCTGGCGATGTGCATAGAGGATTAGTAATTGGACATTTTAGTTTTATCGGATTATCTACACAAAAGCAGAGAACTAATCAATTTTACTTGGCTTATTGTCAGCCGCAAATGAAACATATAAATTCGGATACATTCTAAAAGGAAAAGATAATTTTCATATTGCTAAGAAAAGTATTTAGCCAAAATTAAGTGTTTTAAAATAATATAAATGACACAAAAATGTATTCGTATATATTCGCATACATTCTAAAAGGGAAAAGATCATTTTTATAATGCTAAGAAAAGTATTTAACCGAAATTAAGTGTTTGAAAATGGCACAAAAATCATATTTAAAATCGAGAAGTAGGTGCAATAAGTAAAATAAATTCAAAATTGTGTTATTTTTACAAAATATAACAAACAAAAATGGAATTAAATTTTTTTTTTTAAAATAAAAATGGGCTTAGTAAATATCGACTAAAAGTATAATTTCGTTTTTAAAGCTATTAACAACTGCATTAGAAAACTAAACAGCATTTTTATTTCAATGCCAATCTTTTAATTGATAAGAAGTGGTTTCAGCTAACCAACCTACAGCCTTTGCTGTAGTTTAAACTAATCTCTTCCAATTATGATAAATATTTATCTTGAAATTCAACCCTTACCGTAATCCCATCACGATGCCATCTTTAGTACCGGACCCAAATATCCTTTGGTCACGCACACTAATGTCCGGACATAGTTTTCCGGTCTAATACACAGACTTCGGGGGACGGGTCATGAACATACATATCTCTGCCGAGTTGTCCTTGGTGTTATTGTTATTTTGATAGTCCCATTGCATTTTTTACATAGCTCTCCGAGGCTGGCGTACATTGTTTACTGATGGCCATAATGATTACTTATTTCGAGGATTACTTACTCGCTCTCACTCGCTCCACAGGCAGTGATACAAATACAGAGTGCTGCCTCGTTTTATTGGCATTGTTAATATTTGCTTTGTTGGCATCCTTGGTTTATTTGCTCAGGATTTGCAAGAATACCAGAGTGGGCTCTTTTGCGCCCACTCCACTTCGTAGATACACGCTCATTTAGTTTTCTTGCGCATTTCGGATTGTGGCATTTGGAAAATTTAGCCGGTTGCTTTAGTATTTTAAAGATGCTGCCTCCAAGCTGCCAAAATATGCTAGCTATTTGCTTTCGTTTATTCACTTGAGGTTTGCCTACCAAAAGCGGCAATTAAAATTTTCAGCTTTGTGCCGAGATTCCTGAGTAAGCACCATTAAAATTGTAATATCTATGAACATTATGTGTTTAAATCACAAATGAATTTCAAAGGTAACAAAGGAAAGCATAATATTTTCACCATATTTCAGGAACCACGAAATTATTTTGCACTTTTGATTAATGATATAAAGCAAATCCAAATGAATGCCAAGTAGGCTACCCAAAGAAAGTTCGTTAAGACATAAATCACAGAGATGTTCATTAATTCGCCGCTTGACAATTGGTCAATGCTCGCGATTTGAAATGCATTAGGAATATAGGAGCATATTAAAAAAAGCAGGAGGAAAAAACACAACAAAAACAGCACTCAACTGCCTGTCGCGGCCACAAGAATGATTAATGACAAATTATTTTATGAGGCCAAGGAAAATCATGAGACATAGCATTAAATGTATTTAAATTATTATTACGAAATTAAACGTGGAAAGAAGGGCGAGAAAGACGATTTGATGTGCTCCTCCGCATAGGAAAAGCAAATAAATCATGAATATTAAGTTGCCCGGCGGAGAACAAAAGTCAATTGGCCAAAGTTTATGGGGTGAGAGAGTGGGGCTAAAAGGACTCCGAATTGCTAGGCCACTTGAGAGCTCAACGGCTTAGAAAATAACCATTTTCCCAGTGCCCCGTAAAAACCTGGCATTGCCTTTCATTTGATTAGACGTCCGTCGTCCGATGTCCTCAAACTCAAAATTCCCCCAGGGGGCAAAAATGTTTATGCAATTGGATTCAATTTTTCGATCCAACTCCATGCAATTGAATAATGCCAGCCAA